ATAATTGAATTAAATATAAATTAAGACCTTATTTGATACCTTCCTTATTGAATTTGTTTTTGGTTCACATGCTTCTGCATTATCGATCAGATAATGATCTGTTTTCAATGATATGAACGTTTATCCAGCATTAAATAATATTTATATGTAACCAAATTATGTATATTTATTTATTACTTAATGATTCGCATTATTGTTTATCATTATGCAGATTCAGATTCGGATTTAGGTTTCCTAGGTTAAGCGCTTATAAGAGAGGATGACTATACGTTGACGTCTGATGGAAAGCATGTTGAAAGATGGGGGAACTACTTGAATGGGTGGAGTGAATGAACGTTGTGGCTGAACCGGAAGAGACAGGGGATATTACGGACGGTGCTGTGAAATTTTGACTGATTGCCGCTGTTTCAGGCAAGTTGAAATATAATGATGATGGCGACGTTGATACAGCTGCTGCTGCTGCTGCTGCTGCCGCTGCTGCTGCTGCTGCTGCTGCTGCAGCTACTGCTGCTGATGGTGCTGCTGCTGCTGATGGTGCTACTGCTGATGCTGATTCTGATGATGTTGGTACTATTTGTGGCAATAGCATTGGTGGGTTATCCATAGACGATTTGCTGCCGTTGCTGTTGGCATTACCAACTGTTTCCTCGACAGCGTGTGCGACGGCGACAGCGGCCGCTGCTGCGGCCTTCGACAGCAGTTCGTCCGGCAAATTAAATAGTGAAGATCACTGAAGCCGCGGCCAGTAAGTACCGCCTGCCAAGTCGGAGACATTCTGTGTCGATATTTGAACAGGAACCGAAACGCCAGCGGATATTACACCTGCAAGAAGAATTAATTCGATTGGTGAGTGGGCTGGGAGCATAGCTGAAGCGGCGCTATATCAACCACTTTTATAGAAATACTGAGTGTACCAAATATATAACTAAATATATGCGGACCAACGAGTGTAAGCATTCGATCTGATTGGTTCACATTCATCGAAGTCGGGCTTACGACTAAGCCCTCTGCAGCGAATCGAATAGCTTTCGGATCCCCTCGTTTTCTTTTAATGCAGTTCTTTTGAAGCCCCATTGAATATATAGACATTTAATAATACCTGTATTGGTTGAGCCAACAGCCGAGCCGTTGCCATAAACTCCATGCTGTGGCGGCTGTTGATGGGCGGCCGCTGGATTACAGGCGGTGTTTCGAGGATGGGCCGCGTAGGGAGATCCCAGGGATAGTGGATCGTGAAACATATATGGGTAGCTGTCCCTTTGCTGCAAACATGTGGGCGTCATAGAGCCTAACGACGATGTCATCGAGCTGTGAGAGGTGCGGAAAACAAGAAACACATTTCAGATTTCAAATTCACGAAATATATATACATATGTATGTATATGCCTGACTACAATATGAACGTGGTGGGATATTCGTAGTAGGGAGTGCCTGCCTCTTGGCCATGCTAGAGTTCACATCTCTGTGACACACACTTGCCAAAGATGCACACACCCACACACACGATCCATCAAGCTTAATCATAATACCCAGATGAAAGTATGAAAGGAGAGCAAAGGAGGCGCCATCACCGAAGGTGAGTGTGCTTGAGTTGCCCTACTCGCTGGCTTCCACTGGGCACGCGTAGTAGAGGTCTTAATGGAATGCTAGAATTACTTGTAGTTCTCAGCCATAGTTGCGATTGGTTGCGGGATGGATGAGTACATTGTGTTGAAACCGGTGTTTAAGGGTAGACGAGGTGCTGCAGCTTGTAAGGGTGGGCTGTCAGAGTTGTTATGGGCATTGCTGCTGGCCTCGCCGCCGTGAATCTGCAAATGAGAATGTAATTTTTAAGGTCAGTTCGGGCGATTAAGCCAAAGACGAGAACTTGGAACAAGGAACAAGGAACAAGGAACGAGGAACGAGGAACGAGGAATGAGGAGAACTGAGGGTGTTCTAGCGCTCTAGTCGGGAGGGGACCTAGGGTAAGGGTTGTTGAAAATATATCAATATATCGATTTTTTTAAAAGTTGCATATCAAATATCATATTGATATTTTTCAGAACTTAAAATATCATCGATACGATATTTTTAAAATATTCGGCAACCCTAGCGGACCGGACTAGGATGGGCGAGGGATCGACTAGCTTGCTTGCCAAGAGTATAACATGCGAATAGAAAGGCTATATAGCTGCGGCAGTCACCACCGCTTGTCTGTTGATCCTTTCATCAGGCGGGCTTCCACTCGCGGCCAGCCCAGCACTCGCAAATGTCAGATTCGCAGCAATAGCATGCAATGAAAGGTCGAACATGGATCTTTTGCTCCTCTCCCTCCACTCGTTGAGCAGGCGAATGGAGTGGAGTGGAGTGACGAATCTGGACCCTGAGTTGTAAATGGCAAGCAAAGCTACTGAAAGGATTCCTCAGTGACGCGATCGGATAGTATGTGAGCTTATATTTCATATTTACTGTTGGCCCACTGGAAGCTTCGGCTAAACTGCTGCTGTTGTTATTGTTGTTGTTGTTGTTGTTGTTGTTGTTGCTGTTGCCTGTTGCATGTGCAGCGGCCACTGTTGCTGCATCCGATACGGCCGAGCTGCCAAGGCTGGGCGTCGAACTGCTTGCCGCAGTGCCATTGGGAGGCGCCGAGCTGCCAGTGGTGAGGTTATTGGAGCTTGCGCGACTGCTGTTTACAGCTCCGCCACCCACATTATCCACCGAGCGCCTTTGGGTGCGCAGCTTCTCTTCACGTCGCCACTTGGCACGCCGATTCGAGAACCAAACCTAAATTATGCGAAAAATATAAGTTTTTAAAATTATTATTGAATAAAGTTGCAGGGGCGTAGTGGGGGTGAAGTGGGAAGTGCGAGGAAGGCTTGAAAGACAGCGAGCACCACAAATAAAATGAAAAGTAAAAAACTATGAGAAAGCTACGATATACAATCCGAATTGCCACGCCCCAACGAGCATACAAAATCTGGTTGGCAAGTCCATCTGCCCATACTTGACAGCAGAAGCTAGAGCTTTCCCATTTCCTTTCCCATTTTCAGCATTTATACATATATATCTCTCTCACTCGCCCACACACTCTCGACAGAGAGTGGCTTTGCACAAATTAATTGATGCTATTTCAAAATTTTGATAAGATTGAATTTGAATTAGATATAAGTACTACAAGTCCGTTCGAGATATGCTCAGATATACGTGGCTCTACCTTTGGCCGCTTTCCAATCAAATTGAAACAAATAAGCCTGCTGCCGTCGAGTGCCACCGACTGCGTAATACTTGCTCATGGGGCAAACCCTGATTTGCAGTTGGCAGTAAATCTGAACAGGAATGAAGGAAGAGGAAGGAGAAAGATGGAGGATGGAAATACGAGGAGGGGGAGTATGCTCGTGTGCTGTGAGCGTTTCTCTTATAACGTGTATATGTATGCTCGGAGTGTAAGTCTGATGATGGAGGGACGGATATGCTCTCATTACTTCGTGAGCGAGTATCAGAATATTAGTATCAGAATATTTCCGCAGCTAGTCAGCTGAAGAGCAGAAACTTCATCTTTGTTGAAATCGCCCGTGAATAAGGGTATATAACCCTTCGCAAGGGTATGCACAGATCGAATCGCTGAATTATTATCGCAGTGGAGGGCAACACAATAGAGTGTAAAGTACTTGGTCATGGAAGCTTTATGCCAGCACTTGTTTCGACTTCTGAATTTTCACATAATGAAATTGCGTTTGACATTTATAAATGCTTGAAAATGCAATTCGCTTCATGCCGATTTACCTAGTGCAATCATAAAAAAAAAACATACAGCATACAGAAGGCAGACAGCCGACTGTCGACAGCGGACAGCAGACAGCAGCTGGCACCGATGATCGAATACCCTTTCATATTAATTTGTACAGTTATTTATACTGATTCGATAGAGCAATGGGAATCCAATCAAAGCAAAGGCCAACTCAGTCCCTTAACTCTACATACATTTAGGCGCTATCTGTGTCTATATCTATCTCGCTCAGTG